AAGGCCTCACTTTATGGCTCTCCATTCGCGTGAGAATATCTGTGGAACTGTCGCCTTATAGGTGCGCCTCTGATAGTACCTGCAGAGACTCCTGTCGTGAAGGAGGAAAAGAGCGTCGATAAGGCAGAGGTTACGGTCGAGTCAAAAGAACAAGATTCTCCCATATTGGAGGACGTCCAGGTATGTCTAGGGGAGCATAATTGTTTAAATTTTATTATGATGTCACGCTTTTCGGGGTACGCCCTTAGCTCATATCTGGTCTTGTCATTTTTCGACTTTCCTCATATGTTCTGTTTTAAGGTAGGATTAGTGTAAGAGATGCAAGAAAGTTTGCTATCAGAATGCATCAGAACTCTCCACGCTCTTTCCAATGAGATTGCACAGGGACTTGCTACGATTACTTTTCCCAAAATATCCCTTTGTGTTCATATAAACTATCTCAGCCCTCATCTCACCTTTCAATAACTGAGACCTTCTCGCCCAGGGTACAGCATCGTGATGTGTGAATTGGTGGCCCGAGACAGAGTGTCAGTACGGCCAGTACGGCCCCAGCGAGGTGAGGGTCTAGGTGGAGGGCAAAGGGGCATATATGTAGTACACGTGAAACAGGAAAAATCACGCGCAAAGTCAACAACTAGGGACCAGCACAGCAAATTGCTCTTAAAGGCACGACGATCCCCTTCTCAGCGTAAACGTACGAAGACGGGAGTGTTTGAATGGGCTTAGAGCCAATTTTCACTGATGGCTTCAGGATTCTGAACCACAGCGTTGGTTGCCTGCATCTTTATGAATCACAGTCAAGAACGTAATCAGTTCTTCTCAGAATGTTGGCCAGCAGCCTTGCCTAAGGATGGCTTTGGCTGATTACGATCACTGATCTCTAGGCTGCCTTCTGATGCTTGTGACGATGAAATTAAAGACAGCTCCCGCGATAAAAGTGTCATGGATAGTTGCTTTTCAATTATGAAACAGTAGCTGATAAGTAATCCCCAAAGAAGAAAAAAAGCAAGAAGAGTCCTCAAGAACACCATAAACAAAATCGCTCCCTGACAGTCACACCTCCCTGCGGTCTCTGTGCAACCCCTGGCTCACAAATCTCTCTATCACATCTCGCAGTAGTTGATCATCCAATGCAAAGAAAAGAATACAAAAAACAACAAAAACACGGAAGAAAAACTCTTGAAAAGAAAAGAAACTTTTAAAAGGCGTCCGAATTTAGGGTTACGGTAGCGAGCATGTTTTAGTGTAGTGAAGTGCGTCGAGCTTTTGCCTAGA